GAGAAGCCTAGGCGCGTTATTTCTTGTTTAGGAGCGTCGGTCCTCTACTTTGGGAAGCATCACCAATGGTTCTGAGGATTTTCATCCCAATCGATATTTATTCCCCGCTAAAGCGGAAGAGCCCTAGAGCTTGCTCCTGGCTCTTTAGTAAGGTGGCGGGTCCCCAACCATGGGTCCCCATGAGAGGAGGTATCCCTACAATATCCCTAGAATTTCCATGTTTAGACAGATGAAACTCATATAGCACGCTTCCTCCGTTGAGGAGAAGCCTAGGCGCATTATTTCCTGTTCAGAAGCGTCGGTGCTCTGCTTTGGGGAACACCACCAACGGTTCCGAAGATGTTCATCCCAACCGATATTCTTTCCCACCAAAGTGAAGACCCTTAGAGTTTGCGCCCGACTCTTTAGATGAGTGTCAGGCGCCTGGATCCCAGTTCCTTGTGAGAGGTGATGTCCCCAACTCATCCCTCATAATGTTCCTGCTTAGGCACTTCTTTCAAGTTGTCAAGCGCCTGCTAAGGCACCTCTTTCAAGTCGTCGTGTTGTAACCCCGATAAGTCGGAAGGAGTCACTTGTGCTCGCCTACTCCGTCGAGGGTAAGCCTAGCGTGCTATTCCCTTACCGGAGCGCCATTGTACTCTCGCTTAGTTGGAGAGAGCCCATTGTGCTCTCTTACCCCGTCTAGGAGAAGCCTGGACAAGTAGTCCCCGCCATCACTAGTAGGTGGTGCATCAATTTCATGGGAGCAAGGTCCATCAACCTCATCGCCGGAGGTGCCAGGCACCTTGAATCGTGTATTAATACTTGCTAAAAAGGAACGTCATACATTACAAAGAATATAAAGAGCCTAGGTACTCAACCAGAGAGTCAGTAGCGACCAACCAACGACAATTCGCCTCGGCGCTCTATTGATGGAAAGGAAAAGAAGAGTGCAAGCGCTTTAAAACAAGCGCCCAGGAGATCATACCTCGGCAGGAAAAGAAGAATGATAAAATGATAAGGCGCTCTCAAGATCAACACATGGAGGAAGCGCTTGACATTGCGAAAGTCTGACAAGGGGTGATCGGAAGGTCACCCATTCTCCCATCATCGTTCTAAAACAAGTCTGACAAGGGGCAAGCAACCATAAGGAGTGTATGCAGTGACCAAAGAAGATGGAAGAGGCTGAACGAGATTGAATGAGTCGCGTAATAGAGAAAAGTGAAGAGAGTAACAATTGGAACAAGCGCCTGTCTAATCATAAAGGAAATGTGACAAAGAGGGAAAATACTCAAAGATCGGTGATTCATAAAAGGGAACTCGCCGACTTTAAAGAGAAAAAATGATCTTAAAAGGAACTCACTGAAGAGTCAGGCACCATACTAAAGGTGAGGTCAGAAGTCATTAGCGCCATACACAGGTGAAGGAGCGAGGTTGGATTTCATGAGCGTCAGACACAATCAAAGGAGTGAGACGTCAGGCCTCTCACTGAAGGTCAGACACCTCGCTGAATGAGTGAGGCTCCAGGTTCCCTACTGAAGGTCGGACACCTTTGCAAAAGAGCGAGTCCCCCAACTAAAGGTCAGGCACCTCGCCGAAGGAGTGAGATGTCAGGCATCCCACTGAAGGTCAAACACCTCGACAAAGGAGCGAGGCGTTAGGCGCCTCGGTGAACCACCTATGCCCTCAAGTAAACCAAAACAAGTGATTCCAGATCTTCAAAAGTAAGATTAGAAGTCATGAGCGTCAAACACAAGCAAAGGAGTGAGGCTTTAGGCGCCCCACTTAAGGTCAGGTACCTCGCCGAAGGAGTGAGGTGCCAGTCGACCTATGTAAGTTCAGACACCTCGGTAAATGAGCAAGTCGCCAGGCGCCTCGGTGAAGCACCTATGTGCTCAAGTAAACCAAAACAAATAATGGCAGACCTATATGATTAAGTTTGAAAGTAATCAGCATCAGACACAAACAAAGGAGTGGGGTGCCAGGTATCCCACTAAAAGGTCAGGCACCTCGCTGAAGGAGTGAGGCGCCAGACGTCCTACTCAAGGACTGACACATGGGCAAAGAAGCGAGTCTCTAGGCGCCTCGGTGAAGCGCATATGCGCTCAAGTAAACCAAAACAATTAATAGCATACCTACGTGAGTAAGGTTGGAAGTAATTAGCATAAGACACAAGCATAGGAGTGAGGCACCAGGTGTCTCACTAAAGAGGCACCCCACTGAAGGTCAGGCACCTCGTTGAAGGAGTGAGGTGACAGGCTCCATACTAAAGACCAGACACCTCAGCAAAGGAGCGAGTTGCCAGGCGCCTCGTTGAAGCACCTATGCACTCGAGAAAACAAAAGCAAAGAAAAATGGAAGAGCTTATACAATGAATGGAAAGCATGGGAATAGCATGGTGCATCATTTGGAAAAAAGAAGAAAATGGGGAAAGAGTGCTACGCGCTCGTTTCAAATTGGCAAGGCACAGAGTGTTCAAAGGCAAACTGACAAGTTTATTTCAATTTCATTTGATTGAATCCTCTAACACGAGATAAAAAGCTCAACTGATTTGGAAGAAGATCATATCGGCAGAGCCTAGGAGCTCCTAACACGAGCCTAGGCGCATCCTCTAAGATGCAAGAGCAAGCACTCAATAAATAATTTATGACGAAAGGAAGAATGCAAGCACTAGGCGCTTGATAAAAGGGGCATGATTGCTTCTTTTACTAGTCTTCATTACTTGAGACATGCACTTCTTCTCTCATTTTAGTGTATCTTGATACACCCACGAGGGTGCACAAGCGCTCAATAGTTCAAAAGATCGATAAGTTAATGGAGCAGGCACTTGAAAGGAAGAGCCTGGTGTCGGTTAAGTAAAGAAAGAGAACTGGCCCTCAATCGAGAAGACGAGAAAACAAGGTTAGCAAAAGACTCTCTTTATGTTGACGCCGCCATGATACTCATACCGACGCCAAAGGGGCAATCGATAGGGTATGAAGGTAAAGCCTAATACTTGGAGAGGGTCCACAAGAAGAGTCCAAAAGAAGCCAAGATATAGGGGCAAAACCCTAGAGGCTTACATCATCGGAAGAATAAGACAAGGTTAAGAGACAAGTTGATACACCTGACGTCAGCAAGAAAGAGGTCAGGGTGGGCATCCTCTGCACCACCAAACACCTTCTGACCAGAAGTACAATGTACAGTGACAGAGAGTTTGAGATGCATGAACCACACACATAACATCCAGACTTGTACAAATAGGAGTGTTCTCCTCATGAATGGCAAACTAACTACTTTTACTACAACTTATCTCTACTTTCTCTCTCTAGTCTTTTCCCTCGTGTTCTAGCTAAGAGTGGGAGGTGCCTGCACTCTCGGAGTCATGTATATCACCCAAACCCCCTTTGACCCGAACAACCCCTGACACTTAGGCTCAAACACATTCATTATCCAAACAATCTAGAATTTCACTCCCGGCAAATCCTCCCTAAAACCATTCAACACTCATCACTCATTCGACTCCGCAATGTGTTCTTCACATAGTTCATTGCAAAAAAAATACTCGTTCACACTTGATGTAGCTACTGGTAGCAACAAAGCGAACTTCACAAGCCGACACACTAAAACAGCCAGAACTTCTTCAACACGACCATTTCTCTAGAAAGCTCATCGGTTTTCCTTTAATTTAGTGAACTTCACATCAAAGATAGAACTATCTAGTTGAGTATCTAGATGTAAGATATCGTACTCAGAAAATTCCTTAGGATAAAAAGTAGCAAGTTTTAATAGTTTTTCCTTGTCAAAGTCAACAAACCCATCATTCGCATTTAAGCAAACTACACAACATAGCAATTGGCTTGTTTGCTTGATGGATTTGGTGATAAATTTGGTGAAGGATTTGGATCCATCATGGACTTTGTCCAAAATCCATTGTTTGCTTCATGCATTTAGGGGAAACAAATCCGTGGGTCCCACGAACTTTAAGGGACCAAATCCGTGGACCCCACGAACTTGAAAGTTCCACCTATTTAGGTGGGAATTGATTATGGACTTTGAAGTCCATCATTTTTTACCAACATACCCTTCATATTTACTTTCTCTTTTTATATCATTAGTGCTCACCTCATCAAAATTCAAAACCATTGTTTACCTTTTGTAACTGCATATCCAGTGCTTGAGAGAAAACAATAGAGACGACCAACTTTAACCCCCATCTGATGGTGGATTGGCGGGTGGCAGTGGGTGGGTAAGAGTTTCCCAACAAATTTGTGTTTGAGGGAGAAATCAACAAATCAAATAGGGGTTGGGAAATTTATGTTAAACAAAATATTTAATTTGTTCAAAATTCGTTTATATAAATTTTTACATTTTTTATTATAATAATTAAACTATAAAAGATCACTTAAATAGCATGCAACTAGCTCATTGAAACGTATAGAACAGGTTTCGATCTCCATGGGCAATATATATAGTATATACCGACAATTTTTGGTGCCCAAGAGTGGTGAAAAGGCCCGAGGTAGTGATGGCAATGAGGTGGGGCGGGTACCTCAATTCCCATGTCCCGTCCCACGCTACTACGGGTCGGGACGGGTAAAACCCGCGCGAGTACGGGACGGGTCGACCCACTCTTACATGTTGTTAAAAAAAATACAAGTAAATTTTACTTTTTACAATAAAACGTAGGGAAAAACACTTTAAGAATGAAAAGTATTGATAATAGAATGGATAATTGAGCCTAACAAGTTGAAAGATCGACTCTAACTAGTTGAAGAAAAGTCAAAATAGGAGAAATATGTATAGATATTGTAAGAAATTGAGATAAAATGAGTCTAGAACGGAGCGAGGCAGGACGGGTCGGAAGTAGATACCCATGCCCCACCCCACACTACTACGGATCGGGTAATACCCACCCCATCGCGGGTCAGATCAGGTAATACCCGGGGGCGGATTGAAATTGCCATCACTATGCCGAGGAGGCTGGGTGGGACCCACCCTCCTGCCCCACTGCATATGCTGCATGGATCTATTTGAAAAAATTATCTATGAGTGGATAATTGTAGGTACCAGTATCACATTAGAGATGGTCGAGGGCATGACAAACTCTGATCTCGCCACTCCCTAGTTTCATATTTCAGTAGCCGATGAGACTGTTAATAAATAAGCAACACTTCAAGAAAACAAAACCACCTTTGCCCTCGGGAAAGGAAAGAAAGACCCGCAAATGGTCCATAAGCTCTGATGTTCAAAACTAATAGAGCCTCCAACCAAGGGCCAGAGATGTAAGGCTACAACATCAAGTTACATCAACCTCTACATTTCGCCTGCACTTTCCCCGGATTCAGGATTTTTTGCTTTTTTTCTTTTTAGCAAATGATTCAGGAGTCGGTCAATACAGCAGCAGATACTAATACTCACTCCTAAGTCTGGTTGACATGTCCAGTAAACCAGGGGAGCCCAGGCTGGAGACATTGCTTTGTCTCAGGAAGAGGTACAATCGGCCCTAGAAACAGTCGCCATAAGTCCAGTATTATTGTAACCAGCATTGCAGCTCCCAGAGCATCAACAGCTACCCTTGGCAAGTCCCATGAATCACTTGGCTTCTCGTCAATTCTGCATACATGACAGAAAATACTCAATAAGGCTTAAGTTACAAGGAATAAAGGAGTTATCAGAATCAGCATCATAATTCTCAAGGTTTTAAAAACGTCTGCTAACAATTTGTTCTTGTCCTTGCTGTTGCAGCTGGCTGTAAGAACGTGAGAAATGAAAACATGAAATATGATGCTTCTGCGATATTATAGTTAGAGCAATTAGGTGATTGCCTGAATCACTACACTTTATGACTACATCTTATGCTGCAATGCAAACTAGTGTAAAATGTAAGTAGGATTGAAAAAGGAGAGTCGCTTTGGTAACTAGTGCTCAACCAGAACAGAAAAAATCCATTTTGAATCTGAAATGTTATGTGCAAATCCTCTTCTCACCTCAGAAACATAGGGAAGCTAACGATGAAGTAGATGGCATAAAACAAGCACCCAACTTTGTACATGGCTTCTCGATCCACAAAGTCATAGTATGGGAACTGCAAATGACCAAAAGCATAATTTATTAGGAGTACTACCTATAATATTCGAGAAATCACTTCTCTAATGATCAATAGAATAAATCGGGATCCACTGGGGTTTGCAATGATGGGAGATGTGAACCATTTGTAACACTTACGTTGGCAATGGCAATTGTCTCCAAGTATGCAATGAAATAGGAAAGAGCCAATATCCAAGATGCCTCAAATGCCCACCGAATTGGGCCTGGCAAATCTACAGTAGCATGTCGTAGCCTCCGAAGTGTCATGTTTGAGGTGACATGATAGAACAGAAAGCAAACATGAGTCAAAAGAAAAGTTGTGTGTGGAACCTGCAAAATACAACAAAAAAGAAACTTGATTAACTGGTTGAATGGTCTATATAGACGATGGAGCAGGAGTGCATTAAGCTTATGACTCACATTATTCATCTTCCATGACGGAAATGTATATTGAGCTCCCAGCACAGTGAAGAAATAGTGGGTCCAAAAGTAGTTTCCAACATAGCTAAAAATGATTATCCACACGCTTGCCTGCAGCAATGGCGAGTTAATCAGCCAAGAACCTTACAACTCTTCTTCGGAACAAAACTTAACAAACTCGTATGCCTAAAGGACTTCATAGGGTCACTCCAGAGTAAAGCATCGAAGAAATTAAGGATAAGCTATAGTCTCAAATACCACGAAGAATTAGGGTTCCTATCAGACTAAATAACTAGACAATCTCTTCACAAGACACTACACCAATCTAGCAACTATGTTGAGAAAGCACTTGCCTTAACCCAATAGCGATCCTTCAGTGCCAAGCTTCTATCAGCCTGCAAAAAAAAAATTCATAAATAGCTTGAATGCTCAAGGACACCTGCGTATGGCTGGGGCAGAAAAGGGTGAAAGGGGAAGAGAAACAGCAAGTGAAATTCACCTTTCCAACAAACAATGCTGGTATCAAGATAGCAGGAAGTGCAGAAACCAAGCCCACAAGCAAATATTCCAGCTCCGTAAAGCTCTGCCAATGAGAATCTATTAACACTAGTATTTTTTTTGGCAATACTCAATCCAACTAGCATATTAAATTGATGATCAAACTGTGCAACAAACTAAAGAGTCTATGCCCCAAACGGCTCAGTTTTTTCTCTGCCCTTAATCAAGGAATTGAATCCTGTTTCAGAAAATATGTGAAATTTACCTCGTAGAGTTTGTAAGGGACGATAATGCCCAGACATAGCGTGAGCCAGAAAGGAGTATAGAGAAGGAAGAAAAGCTCCGCCCATCTCTTGCTCAGGTTTGAAGACAACCATAAACTACTACTGCCAGTTGAACGAGCGGAAGCCGGCTTCAACCCTGAAATTCGCCGGCAGCCAAAATATTCAGAATTCGATAAGACCCTAGCGACTATCATCGCAATCAAAAAGATGTAACCATGTATCGATTTGGAAGACAGAAACAGCAAAAAAAGAAACCCCAGACAATTACAAGAATGATTTTAGGATTCCGTTACCGCCCATATTTGGAACTAAGCTCCCGGGAGTGGAGTCGATAATTAGGGATCTGGGGGTACTAAGCTCCCGGAATGAACTCTATTGCAGCGAGTGACCGACTCTACGATTCACCGGCGGTGATAATGCCCGCCGCTACTTGACTATCTTACTTCTTGTAGAGTGTGTGTGGACTGACTGATACACCTCCGTCCTCCCACTCGAAGAGGTCGACTCGCTCCAAGGACCAAGATCCCACCTAAACTGCAGCAACAATGTCTGTTATTTTTAATTTTATCTTTCTTCTTTTCAACATCCGGCCAAAACACAGAACCCTACTCTTCCTAATCTGTCGTAGTCTCCCGCCATCTAATCCTCGCAAACAAACAATTTGGATTTTGGCAAGTTGCTATTTCAAAAACAGTTCGGGAAATATGTCTTATGGGTACAGCGGGCTATTTGGTCCGGATTTTTCAGTTTAAACCGGAAACCGGACCGTCTAAACCCGGACCATTTGAGACCGGGACCGAATGTAAAACAATTCAATCCAATATTTGGTTATAGAAACAGGTAAAAACCCGGATCAATCCAATCTGCGTTAAAATCGGGTCAAAACCTTAAAACTGAATTATCTTTCAAACAGCCCAATATTAATATAGTCAGTCCACCCAATATTAATATCCCTGACCAAGTTGAGCTACTTTAGGGGTCTTTTGCTTCATGGATTTAAAAATGAGAGTTTTGTAATTTAAAAACCCAAGGATTTATCAAGGATTTGAGGCATCATGGATTTGTAACAATCCTTTGTTTGTTGGGATGTTTTTATCATGGATTTAAAGGTGTGGGATTTACTACTTGAAGTCAAAAATTACATTACTGCCCTTTTCTATATGTTTGACATGTTTATGATATGTACACAAAACAAGGACAAAACTTCAAAATTACCTTACTATCATTTTCTATATGTTTGACATGTTTATATGTTTATGATATGTACACAAAATAAGAACAATACATACTAATAAGCATAATGTTGCCACATGGACAATAATAATAAACGAGAAAATTCCGTTTTAACTTTTAACGTAACATAATCAATTACCAATTCTTTGTCCTCCTTTTCAAAAGTGACATATAACAACATATATTAGAATCGGGAGAACAAAGAATTACACGTTCTATGAAAAGGTCAAAGAAAACTAGAACACAAGAAATGATATAAAAAATCTAACTCATGTTTGCACATTAATTGAACGTTTATATTATTCATTTTATTGTTAATTATAATGCATAATAGTTAAATTTGAGGGCAACCTTGGAATATTAAAAGTGCATGAGGGTATATGGGTAAAATCTCATCAAGGATTTATGCCATATTCCAAATCCCACATCAACATGTGGGATTTATAAGTCCGTGGGGTCCACGGATTTGGACCCTTAAAATCCGTGGGCCCCACGGATTTGGTCTCCAAAAAAGGTGCAAGCAAACAACGGATTGTACCTAAATCCTTGATAGTTGGTTTTTTGGTACCAAATCCTTGAAGCAAACGACCCCTTAGTACTTACGGGTCGTTTCCTTCATGGATTTGAAAAATGAAGGTTTTGGTAAAACCTGGGTTTTGGAAATCCATGGACTTATGAAGGTTTTAGATCCATTATGGACTTTTAAAAATCCATTGTTTGTTTCATGGATTTCATGATGGATTTTGTTTAATGAAATTTGTATATATTAAGTGAAATTGACCTTATTGCCCCTATCTATAATCTTAAAACGAAAGAAGACTCCAAATGTGCAACATATCATCATTAGTTAAGCAAATGGTTCATTCTTTGTGTCGGAGGCTGCATTGGAAGGACAAGTGTCGGGGGAGATAAATACTGAACATTAATTGCAAGTTTGAATTGATCTCCATTTTAGTAAGCAAAACATAACATAAATCAATTGTGGCGATTACTCGAAGGACATCATTTTAGCAAGCAAAGCATAACATAAATCAATGGTTGTGATTACTCAAAGGATATCAAGAATGTTGTTTGCTGGAAGTAGAAGGAGATAAAAAAAAATGGGAGGATGGCAATGGTGGTGATGTTGGGGTTCTTCGTGCAAGCATTTGTGACTCATAAGGGTCCAATTGGTGATTTTTGGAGCACCTCGCCACCCCATTTCACAATATAATCATTTATGCATCTGTAGCCGTCGCAAAACACCTTGTATGACATATATGTAGAAATTGAAGTAGGAGGGTAGATTGGCCATTTATAAAAAAAGTGAGGACAAACAAGTAAAATACCATCATGGATTTTAATCTATCACCCAATTCCCACCTCCATATCTAGTTTTTCCAAATCCGTGGGGTCCACGGATTTGGACCTTAAAAGTGCATGGGCCCCACGGATTTACACTCCCTAACTCCTTCAAGCAAACAATGGACTTTTGTCAAAATCCATGAAGCATGCAAATCCATCAACAAAACCCTCAAACAAACGAATCCTTAGTCGTGAAGGAGCTTGAAACCTATGTTTACTTGATAGTTGCTATAGCTACTTGTCCATTCACTCCAAATGCCATGTCATCCCCAGGTGATGACGCTTGCACACATGCCAAGAACCCACTTCACTGTTCCATAAAATCACCCTAGAAACTTTGAAAACTTGCTTACATGGCACGACGATCCTTTTGAGAGTGTTTCCCATAGTTAATTTCATACAAACTCAATGCCCTCGAAAAGGAGCGAAAAAAAAGGCATCGTTGAGTGGCTCGCTCATGAACTTGTATGGGAACCCTTTCTTCTCCGAGTAAGATTTGGATACGGGTCAAAATCGAATTGGGATCAGGACCGTATAAGACCGGATCGGGTCAAAACTGGATTGTGCCAAATCCCGTCTTTGGTCCCCATATTATCAAAAAGATCGAGACCAGATCAATTCGAGTCCGTTTAACCGGACCCTACCGTATAGCCAGCCCTACTTCTGGGAGAGATGGGAATGGAAACGAGGCAGGTTTGGGGCGGGTCATAGTGAATATGTTCCATGTCCTCCCTCCTAAAACGATGATCCGCTCTACTCTGTGCTTCGAGACGGATCACCAAATTTTGATCCATTCATTGCCCCGCACTGATCGGATGATACCCGCTCTGATCTGTCGCCTGCATGGAATTACGTTTTCTTTGATTTTCCAACCAGTGGCGAAGTCAAAAGAAAAAGAGGCAGAGCGGCAAAGAAGGAGTTTGATTTCCCGACCAGAGTCGGCATCGAGAGAAGAAGCGGCAGAACCACATAGGAGGAAGGGAGTAGTTCTAAGGCTACAAACTTTTTTCTTCATTCTATGAATTTGACCAAAATTGGCCATTATCTATCCACATCGATCTGAAGAGCATCGAAGACAAAACCCACCATAGCTCTCGCAAACTTAGAGACTCTTCTACAGCAATGCCCAAACTCGAATCATTTGATCAAATTCTTGTTTTGATTCTAAATGGAGAAACCCAGTAGTGTAAAGTCTGAGAAAAGAATAAAGCCATAGCCATGGCGGAAGAAATTAGCAAAAGATACAAAATGGGGGAAGAAAGCACTCAAGGCGAAAGGAAGGAAGGAAGGAGACGAAATTGGAAAGGAAGATGGAGAGCATATTCGGAAGGTAATTCATTTATTGTTTGGGTTGGAAAGAATCGAGAAAGGCAGGGTGCTTCTTTAGTACAGGGACCAAGGAGACAAAGGTGTAGGGGTTGGGATGGTGGGGATTTTTTTTTGTGTTCATGAAGTGTGAAGTGCTTGGAAACCTAGCCCTGGAATTTCATAAAAAAACACTAGAAAAACATAAAATACGACAAAGTGGAGTCGATTTCCCCATGAAAACCTTCATATCAAGCTAACTCATGCCAAAATGGATGTTTTGCAAATATGAACTAATATAGGCCCAAAGTAGTTTGATAGGTGCTATCACTATCACTACTCCTCACTACCTCCTACTCCCTCTACTTTAAATTGTTGTAATTTTTGTTGTCCCCGCAACATCCATCACTTCGTAGCCGAATCCCTCTCATTCTCACTAGATTCTCCTCATTCTACTACATATTGAAAAATGAGCGACAGGGATGCTGGAACTTTACGTGCTTGAATTGAAGCAAAGCACGCACATTAAAACAACCTGACCATTTTCAAAAATCAAACCATAATTTAAATCGAAAACCGATTACTCTGAAGCAACACAAACCAAATTTAAAAGTCAACTCAATAATTGTCAAATGACACTGTTCAAGAATTTCAAACGAAAAGCCCTAACACTTGGGCAATCACAACCCAAATACTTAAAATAACTTAACACGGAATCTCCAGTTTATACTCCTAACCATGCAACAAAGTAATTTAACTATTCCAGCTCTAGCTTCTCACGAGTTTCTTGAATTCTCATCAATGTTGGTACGGCTGCCCGCCTCGCCTTGCTTCTCATCGGGATCCACCTCGGCTAACCCTTCCTCCACCTAGTGAGTAAGAAGGGGTCAGTCTCGTCGTAACTTCCTAAGGTCTTTGCCTAAGCAAACCTTACTAACACTTTATTATAAATTACTTCCTCTTACATGAAAGTCGTTCTCGCTTCCATCATTAATATTTAATACTTTAGTCCTTAACAACTTATAGAAGTTCTCTACTTCTATATTAACTTATAACTCATTACTAGGGTTTACCGCGTTATATATCGTCGTCCGGTTCTCCTATCCTCAAGGCAATGGTATTGTGTTACGTATCGTCGTCTATTCCATGCACGGTCAACTTTTGCGTTACATATCGTCGTTCAGTAGTGACCCAATATCCTCAATCAACTGATGCGTTACGTATCACCGTCCAGCAGTGATCCGACCATCTACCGCGTCTAGTAGTGGTCTAACCGTCCGGAAGTTAGTCTTACCAATACATATACATAGCACAACGTGTGCCTCCATCTTAAGAAGGCGGTGAGCAGTGGCGTAGCCAAACTATGAATGGACTGGGTCCTTAAAATTTTAAAATTTTTTAGTTGCTTGGAGTCATTACGTGATGTAATATCAAGTTGTTTCGGCCAAAATGACTCAACCTAACCAAACAACCCCAAATTAGACCACCGTGCACACAATTTTGAGAATACCTACCACGGTAGGATTGTACGATTTGTGCATCTAGACATTAACCCGGTAACTTTCAATGATCATGACCAAAAGCTGAACAATAAAACCAAAACTTAGATGGCTCCTCTGAGAAGACGACGTTCTAGGACTAAAAAGAAACTAATCTACTACTGTATCTGCCCAGTGCCCACTTAGCATACAACACAGATTGTTCACTTTTCTTTTCTCAGGAATAACATACGAATTGCTCTTGCTTCACATAATCTGGGAGGCCAAAATATTCATTCATCAACACTAAATACGATTTCTTCAATCTTTGTTCTTCTTCTTCTTCTTCTTTTTCACCTCTCCATCAACCTCTACTCCTTCAACGCTCTCAGTTATGCTCTTCTTCTTTTTCTTCTTCTTCTCGGTCACATCCCCCTCGACTTCCATTGCAGCCACACCATTTGAGTCATCGTCCAGTTTCCTCTTTTCCTTCTTTTTCTTCTTCTTCTCGGATTTTGGCTCCACGGCATCTCCATTTGTGGCAACAGTTGACTTATCCTCAACTTCTGCAGATTCTGGCTTTGATTTCTTCTTGCTCTTCTTAGCTGAAGCTGCTTCTTCCATGTTGGTATCAGCATTTGCTGCATCAACAGTCACAAGCCCAAAAGATAAGCTAAGTTAGACTATGACACAGAAAGCCTGGGATAACAACATTCCAACACGTGGATCTAATGAAGAGGCAAAATGGTATTTCAATCTGTGTATATACCATCATCATTTGCTGTCTCCATGGCAGACTTCATCACGTCAATGTTCTTCCGTGGAGCAACTCCCTTGTCATAGAAATCAAGGCGCTCCTCAACCTGTTCCCTCAGTTTCTCTCCAAACACATTCGTACCGTTCTCTGCAACCCATGGGAAAAACTAAACATACGAACAAAACTAATGGAACTTGTCAAAGTACAGCCAAAAGTAATAAGTTATTTACCAGCAAAGCAATCAATTCGAGTAGCAATTGAGCACTTGTTTGCAAGGTAACGGGCCATGCGTCCCTTGTTGCGTGCAGATGCTCGACCAATGAAGGAGGAATGGAAAATCAAGCCATATTTGGGAGTATTTCCTCGGGTTTTCAAAGCTCTATGTACAGCCAAAGATTAGATGAATGGTATGCAATAATTTATGACAGAGATACTATGGCATGTCTAAAAAGTAAAAAGTGAAATACATAACCCTAAGCATGTAAGTTCAGTAAGTGTCTCAGGTTTAATAAAGGAGACGAACAAGTACATGAACTTGATCAGACTACCTGAAGAGGGCCTTCTCTGCCCCAAGAATCTGAAGAGTAGAAGAAGGGCACTTGGCCAGATTTGTAAGACTACCAGCATGAGATATCAAACGGGCCCCAACAATTTCACCAATTAAGGCAGCCAAGTTAGGTGCAATGCCATTCATCTTTTCAATTAGATACTCGTGAATATTCTTCCTGTACTCTGCAAGTTCCATTACTCTCTGGGCAAACATTTGGATATTAATCATGTCAACTGGATTCAAATCTTGACCTGCACATAATCGGAGGATAATAAAAATGTGAGCAAGTCAACCTAAATATTGGACAAGCATCTATCACAGAATGAAAAATGGATATCATATCCTACCCATAGAAGCTTTGGCAGCTTCAATGACCTCTTTAGCTTTATCTTCATCTCCAAGAACTTCTGTTAGTTCAGGAAGTTTGTCCTCGGATAACTTGGACTTGTCCTCAATGAACTTAGCAACTTTTGCAAAGAGATAGTTGTCATTGACAATCTTCACTAGTTCAGGGAAGTGCCACGAGTACCACTCTCTGCACAAATCAGTCACTTAAAAATCAGAGCCCAATCTAAATGATTAATCCCAGCACATGATCCATCCATGAAATCATAGACAACGAACCTAAATCTCATAGAAAATGAATTAACATCCTTGTCCAGCGTATCCAGAAGAGAGATTGCTTGTATGACCATATTGTCAACTCTATTAACATTGAATTTCACTTTAGCTCGACTGTAACTGTGCCCAAGACCAAGCTGCGCTTTCTCCAAATCTCCAGGCTATATATAACACAAAAAAGTTCTCTGAGCTAAACCATTACGTGGACTGAAGACAAAAGCATAAGAGATAGCATGCGGCCATCAACAAAGAGCAAAACCTTAAGGTCCTTGATGAACCGATCAAAATGCAGCCTGACACCACGAAGCAGCTCAAGAACAAATTCATTGCTTTGGCAAGGGATCTTAGTCACTTCAGAGATATGTGACCCAATCTTGTGATCTGAAACACCCAACGAGAACTTTGGCTTCTTCCCTTCCTTCACTTTTGGCAGATTAAGCTCCAAGAAGTTCCTCAGCTCATCAGTCATAACCCCTGAGAGAAACAGTTAATAGTCAGTAGGAGTAATAACAATAGTCCATAATCCAGAGCTATGAAGCACAAGTACCAGTAAAGCTGAATACATAATCTTTCAAACTGTATCATGAGCATTTCGATAGTGAATCAGAAGAAAGTAAAGTGCCGCAAAACAATCAAAGCCAAGAAGGCATAAACACAAGCATGCAAAATGAAAAGCTAAATCCAACGGACCAACTTCCTTCCCAAATCATATTAAACACAAGAAAAACGAGCTTTGGAGAAGGGGTTTCGCAGTCCTCACCTTCAGAGACAGAGTTACACTGATTGAGAGCATCGAGAGCAGACTCAAAGGGGTGAAAAGCAACGAGCTGGACGACTTTGCCGAACCGGTTCATATCAGAGACAGAGCCCCGAACAGCCTCTGTGTTTTGCCCGATTTCATCGAGCCCGTGAGCAAGGAAAAGACTGTACCCAGAGGCAGCCTCGTAGAGCATATACAAAGCCATTGCTAGGTTTCCTCCACCGGCGACGGAGCTATTGTAGTTGTAGCGCCAAAAACCCTTGGCAGTTCGAAGAAAACGGAAAGCAAGGTTTTGGCACTAGGGTTTTATATCGACTCTTGTAGTCTATGGTTTATGCGATTAGGGTTCTGGTTTTTTTATTGCGGAGCCGAAGTTGCTCTGCGACGGGTCGGATCCGGGCTCGAATTCGGTTATGTTGATGTTATGGGCTTTTCTCATTTATTACGTTGTGAAACGGTGGGCTTCCTTTAGCTGACAAACTGCAAAAAATTTACACTTTTTTTTCCCTTAGATATTCTCTTAAAAAGAGACAGAAACAAAAATCTACAGATTTACAAGGAAACGTGTTTACAACGCAAACAAAAAACAAAGTCAAACCCCGAAAGAATCGAAGTGATAAAATCAGAGCCAACACGGCCACCAAATGAGCCACTCTGAAACCATTACATCCAATGAAATCAAAATGACTCCCTCCCTACTAGGGCTGGAAGCTTGGTACCGGTATTTGAGATATACTAAATATTAGGGCAGGGAATCCGGATCGGGTTTTTCAGTCAAACCGAAAACAGGACGATTTTAACCATTTCGGTTACAATCGGAAACCGAATTCGCAATTACTCAATCCAATTGCCGATCGTTGGCTGTCTGGGAAAAACTGGTCCGGTCCGGTTTAAAACCGTAAAACTGTTTAAAACTGGATGGGCCGAGAATATTATAACTAATTGACTAGGCCCAACAAAATATTAACTAATTGACCAGGCCCAACAAAATATTACCCAACCCACTAAATCAATAACCCAACAAAATATTACCCATTACCCAACCCAACAAAAGACCTAATTGACGAAACCCTAATTGCCTAATGCAGATTGCGAATCCGCCGTTCCTCTTCCTCCCCTTCCATCTCCACCTACGCAGCTGACTCTGAGGAACCGAGCTGCTGCCTGCCGCCTGGTTGCTCTCGCCTCTCGCTCTATCCCTCGGCGGCGACGACGACGAGGCAAACAGCGGCCGACGATCGACGAGCGACGAGTCGAACACGACGACGCCATCATCTCCCTTCGATCTTCGTTCGCTCGAGAGCAGTCTCCCTCGTCTCGGCGTCTCCTGTACATCTCCCTTCGAGGCTCGAGCGTCGATCTCCTGTACATCTCCCTTCGAGCACCATCATCTACCAATTCTGCCCTTTCTCCCGTCGAGCATCGATCTCCTCCATCACCAGACGCAATCGTCGGTCAACCAGCCGGTCGTTTGATGAGGTTTCCGGTCAAAACGGTTTTTCAGTCAAAACCGGACCAAACCGTATCTCATCCAATCCGGTTTGGTTTAAATCGTTTCCCAGTCCAATCCCGTCTACGGTTGGGCATAAGTCCAATCCGGTCATAAAAAACCGGGTCAATCCGGTCCATTTTAAACCGAACCGGACTGTTTCCCAGCCCTACTAAATATTGTATCGAATTTATTACTATTTGGTATTACTAAATACTGAATTATTTTTTAGGGATTGGGAGTGGGATTCATTTTGGAGTGCTATTCGGGTTTACGAGATTGGGATTGGTATATACCGAAATACGGAAAAATTAATGAAATATAGCATACAGCTTTTGGTCATTCCTCACTCTTTTACAACTTAGAAGCCCCCATCAAACTCAATTTTGACTATCCAGTTTAAGTCACTCTCTTCTCTCACCGAATCTCTTGTTATTTTCATAACACCAAAAATCAAACACTAGTATTGGTCGTCTCTCAACTTTCAATTCGTCAAATTAAAGATTACCAATGACAAGAATTTGAGATGTCACATCTCCTTCATTCTCCTTATCCATATCCTAGCTCTAGGCAAACTCAAAACTCTTTGTCTAGTCTCTTTGCCCTAAATTAAACAATGAAATCTAATTAATATATGTAATTAATAATTGCAAAGGTAATTAGTTTCATATTCGATAATACTGATTGGGATACCGAAGTACCGGTTGGGGATACCGAAATATTCAGAGATTGAGATTGGGATACCAAAATTATTTAGGGATTGAGATTGGGATTGATTTTAGGGTGTAATTCGGTATTCGTGATTTCGGTATTTGATATTGGGATACCGATACCGTACCGATTTCCACCCCTACTCCTACCACCAAGCCAAGACGCAGAACCTCTGCCGCCGTCCAAGTCCAAAACGAACAAACCCACTATCTCTTCCTCTATGGACGTAGCCACATCAAAGAAACCCTACATAGGAGTGGAAGATGTTGCATCCCCCTCAAGTTGAAACCCTGTGACTCACTCCTACTGTCACTCTAGAAAATGGCCAAGTGTAACCACTTCCTAAAGCGTAGTAAAGCGGGTTTGGGTTTTAATGCCAACCCGGGTCCTAGATTTGATGACTACTCGGTGAATTCTTGTTATCTAGCAGTGAAACTTTAGTGCAGATTCAAGCAAACAAAAACACAAAGTAAGTTAAACAGTTGTTTCAAGTCGAGAAAGGTCACTATAATCAAAACATAGAATCAGTACTTGGGTTCATACAATCAAACCTAACATACAAATCTAGGGTTCTCCATACCCAGATGAATGGGAGAACTACTCCATGGAGAAAGAAGCAAAAGCAGATTCAGATGCGGAAACCATACTGCGAAGGATGGATTTCAGCTCCTGGTCGTTGTTCGGCACTTCTCCAAGGTCAAGCCAAGCTCCAATGGTGATGAAGATCAAGCTAGGGCACTTGGGAACTCTTGTTCGTCGCTTTATCTCTCTAGGAATCGCTCTGTCTCTCTAAAACTCGAATCCCCTTCTCTTTTGGCTCAAATCTGCCTAAAAGGGCATCACTGGGCAAAACACGGTCGAGGGCACGGCCGTGTTTTGCTCCAGCCCGCCCGTGCCCTTTGCCACGTGGTAAATACACGGCCACGGTCTGGGAGAAACATTTGCGTGTTTTGATGTGGACACGGCCGTGTTCTGAATTGGTCCCGCCCGTGTTTTTAGCTTGTGTAGGACAAATGTGGAGAAGCCTCAGCAGTAAAAGCACGGGCCAGGAACACGGCCGTGCTTCTCAAGCCTCCTGCCCGTGTTTTGGTCCTAGCTCGACCAAATGACTTTCAAATGCCCCTAAACTCGTGCTTGGCCTTCCCTTCGACGCCTGGGACCTGAAATATGACAAAGTAGCACAACCCGGCATAAAATAGGCCAAAACACACAACTATGCCCCGCAAATGGATAAGAAATAGGGGTATAAAAACATGCAATTACGTCGTTATCACCCTGCAACCAACTCTTTCTTCTCATTCATTCTACAAAGGCTCTTGATTGAATATAGAGACATCAATCTAGGGGTGGGCGTTCGGTTGGTTCGGTTTGAACCAAACCGAACTAGCATATACCGACGTTCCGAACCCAGATATCCCTCAACCAAATTTGAACCGAGATATAGTTCGATTCGGTTTGGTTTTTTATTCAGAACCGAAAAAGAATATGTTGTCCATTTTGGTCGTCAACGTTGGTGTTGGTGGAGCCGCGCCGCCGATGTTTTTTTTTTTTTGCCTTCGACTGGTGGTCATGTTTCGTGGCCTTCGATGGGAGCTTTGGAGCGTGGGAGGCGCAAAGTGATGGCTGTCGGGGGGAGAGACGATGGATGGGAGGGAGGTGGCGAGATGGGGACGGTGAATGGTGGTTGTCGGCGGGAGAGACGGTGGTATACTGGAAGAGATGGAGGGAGAGGTCAAGACTATCGAGACTCGAGAGGCTGTCGGGGTCGGGGAGAGGCCGTCGGGGAGTCGCCGAGACGGCTGAGGGGGACGGCTGGTCGTGGTCGCAATCGCCGCCGCCGTCATGTCGCCTCTTTGATGCTGCTTCAAACACTTCTTCATTCCGTTCCTAGGGTTTTTCTACTGATAGACAATTGGAATTTGGACTATGGACTTGGACTATGGAGGAGGAGAGCAGAGAATGGAGTTGGGCTTGAGAGAATGAGAGGGAGTTGCTAAGTTGGGTCAAGGAGGTAGGTATTGGGCTTTAGTTTTAGTTGGCTAATGGGTGGGGAGTAGGCAGTGGGCTGAAGCCTGAAACAGAAAAAGGATTGGGCCACTTTATTTTCGGAAATTCGGTCGGAACTTCGGTTTTTCGGTTCGGTCAAAATGAACCTGGCTCCCGAAATATGGTATATCTCCATCCGAATTCCGAACCTAATAAGGATTATTTCGGTTTCGGTCGGTTTGTGTTCGATTCGGTTCGGTAAAACCGAACCGTATGCCCACCCCTACATCAACCCACTACCAAGCAGTAAAAGAACAACACAATAAACAATAGAATGAAATGAACAAACAATAGCTACAAAAACTAGTACAATAAAGAGACGCACAAACAAGAAAAAAATGATTAAGTCGATAACCTAGATCTTTGAAAAGACTGGAACGATAAAGCTGAACCAAAGCCCCAATAAGTCCATGAAAGAAAAGTGAGAATGAACCAAGAGGTCATTCACTGAACACGAGAAGGAAACACAAAACCCAGAAATATAGAATGAAAAAATTGAACAAACAACGTGCAGAAACAAGATCTACATGCGTGGGGGATACCACGGCTTCCTTAGATGATTGGAACGGGGTAACGCTGGAGACTAAATATGCATGATCTCCAAGGTGATTGAGACGGGAACCATTCTAGTACCAATTACCTACAACAAAACCTAAATTAGTCAAACATACATACGTGGGTGATGCCCATGGCTACTAAATTACGTAAAAAGCAGAACCGGATCAAGGGGCAGTGTAAAATTGCCCCGTCGTCGGCAACTGCGCACCTGGAACCACCTCCAAATTGCTTGAAACTGCTCTATCTCAAAAGAGAAGACAAAGCGGAACTGCTCTTAGCATGCCACAAAAAATTTACAGACGAAGTGCACGAAACGTTGCTTGACATTTTAGCCCAACTTTTGTGAGTGCGCCTTGCCTCTACTTTTCTTGGAAGTGTATTTAAACTTCGCACAAGCTCCCTTGGCAGTTTGAAATAGGACATGACATAAATCTGCAAAGAAGCCGCTATTGATTTGAGAAGCATTTCCTTCACCGTCGTGGCAGACTCTTTGTTCTAGTAAGCACGAAGGGGAGCTTGGTTTCGGAAATTTCAATGCTTCAATCATGCCTTACTGGCACAAGTAGCATGGTGTATGCTTCAGGAG